CTATCTATCTATCTATCTATCTATCTATCTATCTATCTATCTATCTATCTATCTATCTATCTATCTATCTATCTATCTATCTATCTATCTTTTTAAATAGGGGAGAAGATAGTTGTTCAATAGCTTCGTGTATAGGGCGAATGCAAAACATCCTACATCATGAAAGAATTGCCTTTGTAGAAACATTGCCAAGCCTTCTTTTTTCATTTTTCATCTTCGTATTTTTTTATTTTCACTGCAATAATATTTAAAAAAACTTAAATTTATGAGTAAGTTAATATAAAGGAGGATGATAATCACTGCAGTCATCTAATGTAAGATATATCTAAATTTGTTTAATCATTGTCTTTTTAGTCATTATGATAATGCGTACTTACACACACTTGTATATATTTTTTATCGTATATATTTTATTATATAATAGATGGGCCAAAAGTTTATAGATTATTTCAAAAGTTAATTATACATTTTTGAAACGCTTAAAGCTAATATTTTGCACAAGTTGTAAGATCATTAATTTAGCTTGTAATATAGTAAAAATCAAATTAGAAGCTTAGAAAATACAAACAAAAAATATTCTAAAAATTATCCATAAACTTTTGGTCCACTTTGGAAGTATTAAGCCACTCTCTAAAACACATATGAGTAGATTAAAATTGGTGCGTTGTTTATTTTCTTTTCATTGATATTTTAATTACTGATTTAACGTTATTAAAAGTGTTAATACAATTTTGTTCTATTAGCTAACAGTGCTAATATTGTTTTAATAGTGTGTTTCTCAGGTTATTTATATTTTGTTTTATTTATAAATATATATGCATGAATAGAGGAATGATAAAAAGGAAGTGTTAGACTTTGATGAACTTAGTAAGTCAACTTAAAAGAAATTCGATGACAATAATCTGGAAAATGTATATAAATTTTGTTAGTGTACTTAAACGAAGAGTTTCAAAGTATAGTAGATAGTTATATCTAACATAAGGAAACACCTGCAGATGACGATAAGGTACCTAAAAGAGAGACGGTATTGTACTTGCATCAAAGCTGCCACTGTCATTTTCCGAATGTCCGCAGTGTGGCAATGCTTTGTCGTTGGCATCCCAATGATAGAGAAGAATTCTTCCTTTAAAGATGATGTCCTCGATCGTCATATCTGTTCTTGTATCTGGCGTTGATCCATGATATTGCTTTTTGCTATATAATACGTTTCTTGTATTGTCAATATTCATATATGTATGCGTAAAAATTTATTACGTGAATATTCACTTATACACATAAATATACGTGGTGTGTGCGTGCATGATTTAATATTAGGTTCCTATGTAATATATGTTACATATATGGATACGGAATTAATTACCAATTTAATGTAAATATATTACTATTAATTATAATAAAAATAAATAAGATATATAATAATTATGTTACATTTACATACATATTTGACACATCTATATACATTTAAAATCACTAATCATCAATAGGTATAGATATTATTTGAATACAAAATTCGTGCTTTTAGTTGAATAGATAATTTAGTGAAGAAAATTTTTAACTGTGAGGATATTTCTAATCAGCGAAAATTAATCTACTGTTCGATGGTATATATTTTTATGATGCATAATAAATATGATCCATGCACGGATACACACGAAGTGAGAGAGAGTGAGAGCGAGCGGTTTATGTGTGCCATATTAATCGGCCAGGGGAAGTACACACAGTGCATAAAATCTCGAGAGTTGAGTTTAGTTGGAAAAGTATTTGGAACGATCGCGAATATAACACGAGGAGAGATCACTCGTTAAAATTTCACCATATAATGTCAGATTTATCTTATCTAAGATGTTATCTTCTCTTTAAGGAGAACCATGACGATGATGATAATTATGATGATGATTATGATGAAGAAGAAGATGATGATAATGAAGAGGAGGCCATTCTCTTCTTCATCATTTGCTTTTTCTAATTCTAACAAATTTATCGTTAGCAGAGTATACTTGGAACATGAAATTTTATAATTCTTTTTTTATTAATTTTATTTTGTTTAAAAATTAGTATTATTTATTAAAATATTCCAGTTAACACTCTTGAGCCAATCAGCAACTTTGTTGCATTTAAATATCCAAATATTATCTCTCTGCAGGTGAATAGTATCAAAAGTATTTATTATTTATTGTTCATTTAAAAATTTATGGCTTGTACAATAATCGAATAATTTTTTTTTCTTTTTAAGTATTCCTGATCTGTAGAATTTGTGCTAAATTTTTGGCCGATTCTTGAGAATAGTTTTATCTGTTCTTTTACATTACATATAATGTAATATTAGATTTTTTTTAAATAGAGAGTTTCTCAATGCTGAATTTAAACAAAGTTGTGAAAATAAGAGTCGGACGTTTTATTTTGTATGATACTCATTAATCGTCGTGTAATAGTTGGTTAGGCGATAAACTTGTGTGTCGTGCTGTGACACACTGACCCCTTCTTGTCCTAGACGCATGAATAATCTCTATTTATTATTATCGATTACGAATCAAAGCCATAGTGCGACATACGCAAGTGTTGTGTGTGCGTTTTCGTTTGATCAGAGAGAGAGAGAGAGAGAGAGAGAGAGAGAGAGACCGACAAACAGCTGAGCAGAGAGTGACCTTACAAATGACCTCGCTTTTTTTTACTCTCAATAAATTTCGATCGATTTTATTCTCGAGAAGATAGAAGCTATTTTTTTTTAATTTTCTTTTTTTTTTATATTTTTACTGTAATAAATATAGTCGTCATAGAACTTGTTCAATGTTAAAAAAAAATTAATCTCCTGTGATCTAATGATTTGTTATTTGTTTATAAGAAAAATTATTGTAGTACGAAAGTTGCAAAGTTTTATTTTTACAAATTTATTTAAAAATATTAAAATCAAATAATTGAATTTGTAGTAATAAATTGTGATTAAATTTAAGATTAAATACTACAGGGTATTTCCAAATTTTGTAGATAACTCGAAAAATTAATTAAAATTTTTTGAGACTTTTTTTAGCTTATTTGTTTCTTTGGTTGTAAAATTACAAGCTTAGAAATTTTTAGCCCATCCTATAATATATGATAATATTATATATATTATATATAGTGTTCCAAATAAATACTAGTATAATTTATACTATAAAAGGATAAATTTTGTACGGCAGGTCATAGAGTCACTGGACAACAGGGCAGGGGTAGGGGCAAAGGTAGAGGTGAGGCTCGGCCAAGCGGTGATCGAACAAGGGATGAATGGAACAGCGGCGTTGCGACGCAGCCTCGGGGGTGGCGGAGGTGCCACCGGGGCTGGAGCCATTGAGCCAACACCCGTCACCACCCTCTATGTGTGCAAGGATGAAGCTGGATTCGGGATGAAAGTTTCCGGTGATAATCCTGTCTACGTTCAATCCGTCAAAGAGGGTAAATTATAATATTTTTGTATTCTTCATTTTTTTTTACTTTTTATTTTTCTTTTTCAAATTTTCTTAATCGAATCGGGTGAACCACACGCATAAGTGCTTATAATTTAAAAAAGTAATGTAACTTTTTTTTTTAAAGATTTTATTTTTGTAAATAATTAGGCATTTTTGTTAAAAATAATTAATACTTATTGTAAGTATTTTAATATAAACTTTTTAGATTAAATTTGTTTTTTATTACTTGAATATATAGGAAATATAGGATTGAAGGGAGTTTCTTATTGCTTACCTTAGTTGATTTTTGTTTTTCCTTTCGCAAATATCAATCTAATTTTACACGTTCCAAGTATCTCGTGTTTACCTTCATTTAACTTCGACTTTTTGCGATATCATATCATTTATATTTTTTTTCGAATTATACGAAAATGTAACCCTTTTTTTCCTATAGCAAATATATGTACACATACACATATGTATGATTGTAAGAAATGACTAGTCTTTCTGGGTATATCGAAACGAGAGTTCATTTCTCTCGATTTCGATGAATTTTCATTCTGTCTGGCAAGAACATAGTTTAGACATTTTGTTTATAAAATATAGTAATTTCAATATTTATTTATGAAACATCTGAAGTTCTTCATTTTTTGTTTTGAAATTTAAATGCGTTCGATCTTCATCTGGTTGAGAATGAGAAGAACACAATTTAAAAATAGCGTTCGAATGATTAATTAATAATGTAATTTAATTTTATTATATTTTTGTAATGTTACAATTGTGACAATTGTAGGTGGTGCAGCAGCAAGGGCTGGCCTTCATGCGGGCGACAAAATAATCAAGGTGAATTCATTTAAAAATAATTCTAATCACATTAACCCCTTGTCCTACACGGATCTGCCGATTGCGCGAGCCATAGTAAACAATAAGATCGGTCGAGCGCCGTGCCATTCAGCTCTTTGGCCGTGTACCCGAACTGGTGCTAAATGTATACTTTTCATGACATGTATATTTCAGTGCAACATAAGGAATTGTACAATAACAAACAACGTTTGGGTAAAAAATAATCATTTTAAGACATTTAGGCTGTAATCATAATCAATATAACACGAATTCTTTACGACGAGTCAGACTCGTGGTTTTCTTTTATGACACAAATTCTTTACCAAGAATCAGTCTCGTGGTTATAGGACAAAGAGTTAAGAATGAAATATACATACAATTTTAATGTTAATTATATAATATTAATAATATTTATATGTTTCTTCGATTCAAAAATTGATATTATACAAATACATAAATATTCTTATACGTTGCATAACATGTAATCCTCAAATTTTAAATATTACACATTACGTCAGAATATTATAATCAATTATATTTAAATATAAATTTTTGTAGCATATTGTAATTTTACCTAATATACATTTTTTACTATAACTTCAAAACAACTCATCTTTTATAAATTTAACTATATATATATAGTTAAATATAATATAATTAAATATAATTAAATATATAATAGTTAAATATATATATTAAATCTCTTAAATAAAGTCTCTTAAATAAAAAAATAAAAATCTCTTAAATTTTGTCAAGTTTTAATCTAAATGCATTTGTTTAAAAATATCTATGTTTCATAAATTTTGAAATCAGGTGTTCCATACTATGGGTACAGTTACCTTACAAATTACTAAGGTCACTATAAATAGCCACAAACTTATCAAATGGTTTTTATATAAAGGATGTCTTGTAATTGTTGGTTTAAGCGAGCAAAGGATGATCGTACATAAAGAACTGTCGAAAACATGCAATAAAATTTGTTCATATAAAGCTTTATTATCGACATTGTCAGTATCATGATTTTTCTTGTACCTCGTTTATACTTCTATGTTTATTAAAACTGCTTTCCCTGTCTGCAAGACTGCAAGCTCAGTCAAGTGTACTCGACAAATTTTCAAACTAATTTTTTCTAAAACCAAATTTCATTTGAAAAAATTTCATTCTACACTTTCTACTAAGTTTTTTTTTTTATATAGAATCACCATTTGTTCGCATGTAACACAACGTACAGAACACCTTGTATATTAAACATATGTATATATACATATTTACGAATCAAAGTACTGCTAAATAAATAAAATTAAAAAAAGAATAATACATAAACAAATTTGAGAGTATTAGTAACGATTCTCTTTGCTAGTATTAATAATTTATATACTCGCTTTTTTGCGTGGGAGAAAACATATAGTCGACGTGTTCTCTCTCTTTTGAGTTGAGAGAGATAGAGAGAGAGAGAGAGAGAGAGAGAGAGAGAGAAAGAGAAAAATAAAAAGTAAAAAGGTGAATAACGATTGTTTCTACTTTTTTAGGTCAATGGGGTGAATGTAATGCAGTCCACGCACACGGACGTAGTGAAGCTGATAAAATGTGAGTACATATACATATATTGTGTACGTGTACATATACATATACATATTCATATACGTTTGTTTCCAATCTTTCTTTTCGCAAAAATAATGATGTAAAAGAAACAGAGACTACTCGAAATCAAAAGTCAAGTCAATTCTTGTTCCACATTAAATATTACATGAACATCGTCTTAAGTTCGTTTCTTCTATTCATTGCCAATTGCGGGGTGGGAAAATGATTTATGAATTTATTGTAATATTTTTATATTGGATTGCCTGGAAAGTTCATGCCGATTTAAACCAAAAAAATCATTCATAGGTAACACTTATTTTTATATATTTTCAATTCGATGTATATTCTTAGTAATTTCTTTATTTATTATTATTTTATTTTAATTTTATTTGTATTCAATAAAATAAAAATATTTAATTGAATTACATTATTTTATTATAATTTCTTAACACAAGATTTACGGATGTTCTGTTCACTTGATTTTAAGAACTTACAAACATTGCTTGAATGGAGGGTTGAGTAAAAGGGAGGAATTAATATTTACGCATATTTAATTACGTAACTAAAAACCACACACACAATATATATGTTTTTAAAAATTAATATTTAAGTTTTATATATGTGCAGTAATCAAATTTTTTATGAGTCAAATTAGCTCGGTCCATAAATCTAGTGTTAAGGAATAGCATTTTTTTGTAAATAATTTTTWTGAGGATTGTTTGTCCTCCATCCTTTTTTATTCTAGATAATTGTTACTATCGCTTAAACAAAATTTTAGGCTTATTTATAAATTATTTAATATTAACTTCTTATGGAATTACGATTTAATAATTATTTCTTAGAAAGATAATTCATAAATAAATGAAACTATATGCATTTATAAATCGGTACGAACTTTTCATGCAATCCTATTTGATTCCTATATGCAACATATATAAGTAAGTAAGTGTGTACCTATATGTGTATATAAATTTGCGTGTGTTATATACAATCACACAACGAAAAATAAGAATAAGAACAAAAAAGACGAAGGAGTAGACGACGACGACGACGACGACTACGACTACGACTACGACGACGACTACGACTACGAAGGAAGATGAAAGAAACAGCAGAGAGTGCCTTCAGTGATGTAAGCATGCGAGTTTATAGCGGTGACTGTTTTAGTCTACTGTCTCTCTTTTACTCATAGTAAAGGTACTTACATGCGCATTGTGTCAGCATCATCACCCCACTAACCACTACAAAACCAATAGCAACAGTCAGCAACAAACAGTCATGTCGTAAAAATTATTTAAATGTCTATTTCTCAAAAACCATGGTATATCGTTTATATAAATAGTATTTTAAATACTAGCAGATCAGCTGATTTCTTAGATAAATTGCATATAACCAATTACTACAGGGTAGGAATCGAAAGATTTTTGTAAAGAGAATTTTGTAAATTCTAATTTTTTAGGTATTTATTATAGTATAAAATAATAAAAAGTTCGCAATAATTTATTAAATGGGCTTAAAGTTTTTATATAATTTTTAAAAATAAAGATTAGCAACGTAAAGATCCTAAAGAGAATTGTTTAAATTATAATTTCATATAAAATTTGTATAGAATAATGCTATAATAATCAAAAGTTATTATTTTTAAAAATCACTTAGAAAAAATAAAAATGGAGGACATAAAATCCTTCTAAAAGGAGTTTAAAAAAATATAATTCTTTAAGAAATAACCATAAAATATTACAATACTAGCCAATAGTTGTTAAATGGATCTAGCATTTGTAAATAAACTTCCAAATTTAATTACGATTTTTGGAAACTTTTTAGGCTTTTATTTTTATTCCTAAAATAAGAACCATAGTCAATGTACTTTACAATATAGTAAAGAAGAAAAAAATACTGGTCTAGAATGTTTTGAAAAAAGAATAATTGATTTTATGAAATCATCCGGGAATTTTTTGGCCCTACCCTTTATTTCTGTATTAAAATCATCCATCCATTTTTCGTATTCGTTTCTCTCTCCAAGGACGATCATTATTCTCTATCTCTGTCTATTTTTGTCTATCTCTGTCTTTCTTCTTTTCCGTGGCTAGAAACAGTTACGACGAAGACGAAGACGTGTTTCGCTTTCGCGTTAGTATCGTAGGCGTTTCGACTTTGGAAATTTCCTAGCTTTTTCTGGCTCGAATTATTCGGATATATTCTCTTCTAAGAAACTCGATAGAATATCTAACGGTATATAACATTAGAAACGTTAGGTACTTTCCAAAGGGTAGAATCAAGAGTTTTAGAAAAGGGTTTGAAGTATCATCGAGAATATTTTTCAACGGCAAAACAAACGTCTTACATTAGATAAACGAAAAGATTTATTAAATTTAGATGAAGAAAAAGTGAATATGTAATAACAAAAATAATTTATTCCAAAAGATACACGTATAATAAAATAATAAACATCATTCAAAAAACGAAAGTTTATAGGTGATGTCAAAGTTCCTAAATGATTTTAAAAATTATCTTCGAGATTTTTTATAGAATAATTTGTTTTATTTGTTTATATTCAGTTTATAATAAAGTACTCAATTTTATACTATGTGAAGAAAGAAGATTAGCATTAAAAAATAAAAACCTAATTAATTTTATTAAATAATTTGGAAACTTTGAATTCTCATTCTGTAGAAATTTGTCTATAGAAGTAAAGATAAAATTAGAACAAGAGTATTTTATTGGATTTAATGAATTTAACAAAGTACAAAATAAGTTTCGTTTTCGTGATGAAAAGAAAAAGGGAGAGAGAATTGAAGAGGGAGAGGTAAAGGTAGGGAATAGAGAATTTTTCGTAGGATGAAAGTTTCGGTAGTACATACTTAATAGCATTGTCTTTGATATTGGTATATATGTACATTAACGTCCCTTTTAATTCGGTAGCTTCCCATCAGCATAATCACTTCGGTGTTTTCTTAGTAACTCATGAATATTTAAAATTAACGACGAATCTGCGCCTCTCGGCTTTCTCGTCAAAGAAATCTTCGTTCTTCTTCGTCTTCAGCAATGGCGGCGCACCCTCTTACCATTCATCTACAGATCAGACGGTTGACAAATATTCTTTCGTGTGAGAGAAACAGACATAGAGACATTAAGATACAAGCTGTGAAGAGAGATAGATAGAAAGCGAGCAAGCAGAAAAAGAAAGAGAGAGAAAGATATGTAAGGAGAGATACATACAAAGAGCAATACACTAAATAAGAGAGAAAGAGAAGGAAAGAGTCTTAAACGTGATTCGTTGTCGTCGTCGTCGTCGTTGTTGTTGGGTGAGTAGGTAAATTTGTTCTCTCACCCCTCACGAATACGAATTTCCACGCGAAATTCGTTCTCATCGTCTTTGTGCAACGATTACGTCTCGTGTTTTGTCAATACAGGGTGCTCCAAAAATCTCTCTGGGTTGATTTGTAGAATATCAAATATTCTTTATCTACAAACTTTTTAAACATTACTTTTAGTATATGTTGTTTTCTTTTTGTAATAAGGAAAACTTAAGCTTAATTGTAAACCTAAAAGATTCTTAACAAAAAAAAGTATTTCATTTTGAAGATCATCTGAGAATTTTTTAATTTTTTTTATTTATTTTGATGACGCATTAGCAATCGTAAACAAAATCGTATGATTGGAAGATTTCCTTTTCGTGTTTGATTTTGATTTTTTGTTCTTTCCTTTTGTTTTTCTTTTTTTTTGTGGAGTAAAGGGAAAAATATACATGATATGTCTAGTAACTAAGGTGGACTATAATTTTGTTTCTTTTGCAGATAGAAAGAAAATTTGGTTTTGTGTAACAAGCTTTATCTTCAAGTAGCGTAAGTTTCTGCAGTTATGCATCTGTACAACTGCACACTTTGCATTGTTTAACAAACTCTATTATCAAGTAATGCAAGTTTTTATAGATGTGCATTGATGCAAATGTACAACTGTATATTTTGAATACTTCTTTAACAATGTAAAATATGTTGCTATCTGCAAAAAGAACGAAGTTGAATTCCAACTTACAATTAGTTACTAAATATATTATGTATAGTAAGCATTATGTTATCTGAAAAGTTTGTATATTTTTAAATATATAGCGAAATATAAAAGTATTTCCATTTTGAATTTTCCTTAAAAATCGATATCGAACTTTCAGACAACTCATACACATATAAAAAAAAAGGAAGGATCGTCTCGAGAAAGAGGATATTTGTAAAGTCAGCATTTTCGTTAGAAAGATTAGACGCGTGCTGTTCGCGTGAACGGTTTTTTCCACGAACGTTACGTTATTTTCGCGAAGTCATGAATTTATTCAAAGTTCAGTAGAGAGAAAGAAAAAGAGAAAAAAAATTTTACCATTCGTTCGAATCTCGAAATTCAATATTCCCGGATTTCCTACGGCTTAATGCCAAATCTTAACTGCAGTCAGCTGATTGGTTCGTTATCATGATTAACGTTAAATGAATGTCTTTTGATTCTCTATTGATTATGTTCGACAGTAATTAGAAATTAATTAATGTATTTCTTCTCGCCATTTTTATCTACATATGTTAAATTAATTTTTTTATTTTCTCAATTGTGTATGAAAAATTTGTAATTATGTTAGTTATATATTTTATAATTTATGCGTACTATACTACGACTTTTTTTTCCTTCGTAATTTTCTATGAACAATATATACTAACAAAATAAGAAAAAAAGAACACATACAAAAAAGCCAGTATAATACACATCGAATCATTTCTATTTAATCTATTTCAAATTGTTCGTATTGATCGAATGAATAACACATTCACGTGAGAACGCGCGAAGGATTGAATCGATAGCGATTAGCAAAAGTGTGTCGGGTAATATAAAGCTTTTCTTTTTTTTTCTCTTTCTCTACATATATATAGAACAGGACAGATAAAGCTAATGTATTTTTGGATCGGTTATATTGTCGTGAAAAGACATATCAACCGATTTATATCAGGCTTGTTACTCGCGTAACCATGGGTGGTTGTTAATAGCGACCAAGTAGTCAAGTGTACTTGTATTTGTGTATTCGCGTACAACCTTCCTTCTTCTTGGGATTAAAAAATACTTTTAAGAGAAAAAAACATGTGTATATGTATACAACTATATGTATATATAGAAAAGACGCGGAGGTTGCAACTGACCGTGTCAGGAGCTCTGACTCAATCGTGTTCTTTCTGAGCTTACCAACAACTGGTCTGATTGGTGTTGGTTCTCATTCTAAGCACGAACTATGTACATATTCTAGAACGATCATCTTTTCCTTTTATCATTATTATCTTCTTATCGTGATGGAGATCTTTTGGATCGTTTATATTTTTTATGTATTAAAGTATAAAAGAAAATATTCACATATGTATGCACACAAATATTGTTCATTTTTAATTATATTTAACGTCGTCGTTGTTGTTTAATTTTGAAGTCACGTGTTATATGTGTGTTGGAATTAGTTTATATACCAAGGCTAGTTGGCTAAGTATGAATTATATGTGTACTTAAATATAATATATTTATGCAGTTATTATAACTTGTATAATAAATATTGTGTATGAATATTATAAAAATATAATATTATTAAAATAATAAGTTATAATTTAGTATTGATATAATTAAAGATTTTTTAAAATGATATTATTAATATTATTAAATCGTCGATAACGACTAATCGAATAATCGATATCATTAACAAATAATATAATTAAAACAATATTTATAATAATATAACCATTTAACTTGTATGAGTAGTATTGCATTTATTATGCAATTTATGATATTTTTTCATATCATACAATTTTATTTTTTTTTTAAATCAGAAACAAAAACTCTGATTACAGAAAAGGAGTATTATTATTTGCATCTTTTATAACATAAATATATTTCTTTATATTTTTTGTTTTATAAAAAAAGATTAGCAAATCGATAAATTAAATCCAAATACGTATTTTCTAAATCGTTAGATTTAAATAATTGTATAGATTTTGCGTAAGATTTTCCTACATAAAGTGATTCTGTCTCTGACGTCATCGATTAACAGAGGGAATCCACGTGAAGAAGGAAACGAAGAGCAAGGAGAAGAAAATGCAAAGATCATTCTTTTAAACGATGACGATCTCGGTGTAGAAATGAATTTGCAAAGAAACAAGAAAAAGAAAAAAGTTACGAGTATAATATCCAAAGATTGTGATGGTATAACGATAGTGTTTGAAACTCTTAGTTTGTCGATCTCTGGTCACATATAAACCAATCGTAGGTTGGTACAGTGCCGTGCTCGTATAGAAGTGTGTAAACAGTGAACCTCGTCATTCATATTAATACACACCTGGCTCCGAACTTTTCCCGGTACGAATATCCACCACGTTCTCTTCTCTTGTGCGGAATATATCTATATATCTCTCCTTTTCTCTTTCTCTCTTATGCACACATTTATACGCATATTCATTCTCTCTTTCTCTTTTTCTTGACTTCTTCGTGCTCAGTAGCACGATTTGACGCAGTCTTGAGTACGACGTCGCGCCTGTATATTCGTACTTCCTTTTAAACGAGTACATTTCTTTTGCAAACAAATATATATAGTGTGTGAATTTAAGAATAAAAATATACAAAATAATAGAAAATTAAAATTAATCGAAATTGTGGTTGGATCTTGTTAAGTGGGCTGCTAGTAATGCGCCTACATGAAAACTCGAACTACATACGATCTCAAAAGAGCTTGGGTCGAGACACCGGTGGAAATTTACTCTGGTACTATTTTATTTATTTTTTTTTTGTTCATATTATTATTATCATCATTATCATCATCATCATCATCATCATCATCATCATCATCATTATCATCATCATCATCCTTCACTCACTTTTTTCTATATTATCGTACGTTATAATTTCAAAGACATAATATCCAAATTTGGTTGCATTGTAAAAAAGAATTTATCTATTTATTTATTTTCCATTTATTTTGTTATTATTATATTTTACTCATTCTCTCGTTTCTGTTTTTATATCATACGTTATAATTTATAAGCGACGTAATATAAAAAATTTTAACTCAATGTGAAAGAGAGAGAGAGGGCAGAAAAACCTCGCGTTATTATTCTCTTGAATAACGTATTTCTTAATACGATTTCGGAGAGTGCAAATTAGGAAGTAGATTCTCATGGACTTGGATATTATAATCATAGTCATGATTATCATCATCATCATTATCATCATCGTTGTCATTGTCATTGTCGTAATTTTCTTTGTCGTCTTGCAAAATAAATTGTACGGATTATCATAACTCTTCGCTTTTACATAATCGACGATTCACAAGCTATTCCATGATTTCTCGTAGCTTCGGATATATTATGGTTGTTGCTTAGGCGACTAGCGTTGCGTTCGATCATAAGTAAAACAACTGGTCTCGATCAAGCGGTAGAATCCTAGTCATCTTTTATCTAGTTATACTTTGCGAAAGAGAATGAGAGAGAAAAAGAAAGAAAGAAGGAAAGAAAGAGAGAGAGAGAGAGAGAAATAGCATTGATGATGACTCACGAAACTTGGAGAGAGAAAACTTATATAACTGCCTATGATTTCAAATCATTTAATAAATCTATTCAAATGCGACGAGGAATAAATGTTTAAATATATATATATTTTTTCTTTTTATTTTTAAACATATAATTATTATTTTTTATTTGTTAAATTATTGGCCGTGACTAAAATTCGAAAACAAGGTTGCGTTCCGTTCTCTCGAAAGTATGAATGTTCGGTAATACCATGGTGTGCTGCGGTGGTGGTATACACGTGACTCATGCACCAGTCTCGGTAGACATGCATGCAAATATTTTGGTGTCCCTCCATACCGTGGATGAGTGAGTACGTGCGTTCTTTGCAGACTGCGTTTGAGATCGAACTTACGATTTCGTGGCAATACGGTTATTTTCTTTACCCGAGGAACATGCTAAGCCTCAATCGTTTTGCATATCCCATACGCCATTTCACCCCCACCTTTTTCGATGGAAAAAAGCATGATCATAGAATATACCGTATTACAATAAATAGTTGGTTCGACTAAAGATTGACTAATGGAAGATACGAGAACAATTTCAAAAATCAAGAAATATATTACTATTTCATTTTTAAAAGAAAAAGAAATAAAAATAGGCGACAAACAAAATATTAAATTGATCGATAATGTCGAAATTTCTATTAATTTATACTATTTTATTTTGTATTATATAAATTATATTATATTTAGTATTTTTTTATATTGAAAATATTTACAAGTTTATGTCTAGTACTATGTAGTATTTTTTATATTGCAAATTTTGTGTATTTAATATTCAAGTAAATAATTCTAGCATTTTTAATATTAAAAATTCTATGTAAATTATTTATTGGTCAATTCCAATAGTTTATATTTCTTCTTTCGTGGCTCATCTATCTCTTTTTTCTCTTTTCCATTCTCATTTATAGATTCACATATATATATATATATATATATATATATATATAGCATTCACAGAGAAGGAAAGAATAATAAATTGCGTATTACTAATGTCGTTGATGATGACCATGAGGAGGATGATACTCACCCACGATTCTACATTACATCGTACTCTAGGTTATTAAGTCCTTTTCATACTCGTTACAAACGAGACTAACACACACACACACACACACACGTATAGACACATACGTATATACAAATGAACTAACTAACGATCTCAAAGAGATCGGTAATACATATGCCAGCCTAAATATTTACATTTAACAGTTAGGAAGAGTTTTGCGAATACGACGCTAGCATTCGCTTGAATGACGTCGCGTTTCGAGAGTTCAGCGAATTTTACAACTAAACGATTTAAACGCAGTAGGACACATACTAACTTTTCAATATTGCCGTGAGAATATTTTAGTAACTGTTGTTACCAAAAAACCTGATAAAGACCTGAAAAAACCTTCTTTTGAATAGTTAAATCGATAATAATCAAAGTATTATAATTAAAAAATTTCACTATGTATTAGTTTTGGATATTATATGCTCTACGATATAAATTAATACTAAATAGTTATTTGTCAAAAATATACTTACTTTCTTACTTTTTAAAGTAATTTTTAAATAATAAATGTCAATATTACAATTACACCATTTTTATGATCCTTGTTGCATTCAGTTCATTTAAAGATCGTTTATCTTTATTGTTGAAATGAAATTATTTTCATTTCATTTAAGGAGTAGAGAAAGTGATATATATCTGATTTTAACGTTGATGATTTTATTATATATATTTGATTTTAACGTTCGCTAAGGATAATCTCATTTAAGTGTGGAGTAAAGTTGAGTATAGAGAAGGAGAGTTAAAGGAAAAGATGGAGGTAGAGTTGAAAGTGGAGGTGAAGATAGATATGGAGATGGAAATGGTGATAGAGAAGAGAAAGAGAAAGAGAGCAGAAAGCATAGTCTGACCAGAAAGCCATGCGAAAATATCCAATGACTAATCCTCGACCTTGAACCTTTGTTGCAGCCTCAACGCAGGTGGCATTGACGGTGCAGCAGAAGCCACTCGGTGCTGGTAGTTCGACAGGAATGGGTACAGGCTTACAGATCGGTTACCCGGCCGGTCAACAACATCAACGGTCTTCGGTTTTGCCGTCTGGTACGGCGATGCTATCACCCTCCCAAGCGGCGACTTCTCTTTATAGGGCATCAACCGTTCTAATGGGGGGTGGTAGTGGTAGTGCACCCTGCAACTCCCTTATCACCGGACCGCAACCGGTCGATGTGAGTTACATTATCTTTTTTTTCTTTTTTCAATAGCCCACTTTTATATATTCCTTTCTTTTCTTTCCTCTTTTATTCAAATATTGCCGCGCACTGATCGAATGCTGCCGCCATTTTGTCACGTGACTCAGCTGCTCACCATCTAGTCAAAATGCAAAGAAAGCTTTCCTCGTTTACCCCTAGTCGTTTTGAAAGTGATTGAACGTTTGATTTTTCAAATTCTTCAAGTTTGTCAAGAGATTTATATTTTACATTTGTAATCCACTGGGTGGATGTTAAGGAAATAAAGTTACGTAAAGTTTGTTTTAGATACTGACCTTGCAGACATTCGTCTCATGGACGGTACAGAAAAATATGTAAGATAAATCTGTATAATCAATTATTAACGCGAAAATTATAGGTCTTTATGTGTATGTGTTTAAGTGCTAAAAAAGTTATAGGTTTTTTCTTTTATTTATATTTGATCGCAACGAATCGAAAATATTGATAGATTCTTGGTAAATATATTTTTTTAACTACTGATGTGTAATATTCGTAAATCGTTTATGTATAAAGGAACTTTGTCATTATATTATCATTTATTTTGTCTTATCGATTTTATAATTATCTACTCTTTTTCTATTGTTTATTGTGTTTAAAAATTGTCTTCACAAAATGTTTCAATAATATTATTATCTTTCGTAGTCATCATTGTTGTTATTATTATCGTGACTGTTTCTAGATAGTTTATTGTTCCGACCTATCTATTAGAACTCCTTTTAGACGTGTAGTTTGCTACACGTTCTATAGTTTGTTTCTTCTTCCCCTCTTTCTCCTTCTAAACTTCTCCTTCCAACTTCTGAAAACAGCATATTCCCGAATATACAAACTTATACGAGAGTTCGCAGTTACGTAGTTTATTATCAGTCGCACTACGGTTGTAATGGACAGTTCTCCTCTAGACTCCGTCAAAATGTTATTTGCGGGCTTATTTTTATCTGTAATTTCACTAAACCAAATTTTAAAATAATAATTAATATAAATAAAAATATTTTGCTTTCAAATTAATATCTATACATTATTACTCTGTTTTTATAATAGCATTTTTTGTATACTTATCCATTAATATATTATAGTAATATATTATTATTATTATTATTATTATTATTATTAAAATTAATACTAGATATACCACCATTTTCAGTATACCTATTTCTACCACACCAGTCAAAATGACTGGTGTATAAAAAAATGCTTTTTGAGGTTTCCAGTTATTATTTACTCTTAAAAAATAGCAAAAAATGTTTAAAAATAATAATTTTAATAGATAAATGGATTTATAGACATTTTTAAATAACAAAACGCTTAATTATTTACAGAAATCAAATGTTACATGAAGTAGACATTTTGAATTAAAATGGTCGACTAGTCAAAATGACTGGTCTGGTATATCTAGTGTTAATCATTACAACATATATGTATCTTTATTATATATTTATATAATTATTTTATATTTTAATTACTTCCGTAATTGTAAATTTCGACTAATATTAATTGTTTGTGTTTCTTTTTTTTTTTTGTTACGCTTCGTAGCTGGAGAAGAAACGACAGTTGGAGACCCAACGCGTTCATACATTCCAGCTGATGTTGGAGAAAGAACGAAGTTACGTCGATAAACTTCGTAGTGAAATAGCCAAAGCTGGAGCCTGTGGTTACAATGTCAACAATGTTGCAACCTTACAATCGGATTTAGCAGGGGCCGAAAGAAGAGTTCGTACCTTGCAGGATCGACTTTCCGCAATTACCAATAACGAGCAGGTAAGAACTCATATTGAATAATTTTTATTTTTTTTCCTTTACTTCTTTTCTTTTTATTTTTTCTTTTATTATGCTCGTTGTTTTACAAGATTTTAATGCTCGTTCATCTTTTTAATGATCACCAGTGTTTTAATCCAAACATATTTTGTGTTTTCAAAGTTTTATATGATGTTGCTTTATTGTCTTTATTAGTGCGTATTTTTTTTATGCTTATACTATTAACACTTTATTTAGATTAATTTTTATATCATTTTGTTGGAGTTTTATTTTAAATATTTTTAGATTATAGAATACATAATTATTTATTATATAAGAAAATTTATTACATGATTTTTAAATTTTTGTCGATATAGTCTTTTTTATTAAGTTTTTTAAAATCATCGTTATGTTATTCGCTAAACTTTGATAGTTTCAATTTATGCTGTTGTTGTGTGTGTTTCCATTCTATTTTATCCTTTTTAATATTAACTAATAATAATATGGGCCAACAATAAGCTTTAATTATACAAAACAACAGAAGTCTCTCGTTAACTCTGAAGTATTTCGTTCAATATGCAGAACATTCTTTTATAAAGAACATTCTTTTATATAGTTATCGGTAGCCTGGTTGTCAGAGGTGTTCCAACTGATGAATGGGTGTTTTAAAGCTTTTGCTAACCTTGATCTAACAAATGCTTTTGTTGTGTCTTACAGCTTTGCTCATTGGTAACAAACACCGCGTGTACCCCGGACTATTATCCATCTTCGAGCAGTAGTAGCGGTGGTGATGTCCCACCACCTCTACCTTCTCGTAAATCCTTATCCATGCAAAGTCTTTCTCCACCACCTTTGCCTCCTAGACCGTCACCTGCAATAAATACACAAAATACAGTCCAAATGGAGGTGGAACGACATCTGCTGACTCATTTAACGCCCTCAACCACCAGTCATGGCATACCTAACTCTGTAAGTAATCTTATCATCCACTGATCACATATGTATCTCATAATATTGTGTATGCTATTCTATTTACAGTCTAATTTTTATATATTTATACATTTGGATATAGTCAGATATTTTTCTTTACATAATTTTATGACTTGCTTTTATTTTATTTTTTCAGAATTATTTTATAATTGAAATTATATTATTACCATAATTGCAAAACAAATATTTACATTTTATTGCTATGTTAAATGTCTATAGGAGAATTTATTGTCTAATAATTTGCTATATCGTTAGATCGTACATTTAGCAAATGCTTCTTCGTATTAATAGTTTATTATAATATTTACATACCTCTCTCTTCTCACTCACTCTCTCACTCTTTCACTCTCTCATTTTCATCATTTTTTTAATACTTATGCATTCATAATAGGTTTTCAAAGTGTCTTTTTATGTAATTGTTGTTTTTATATATTACTGTTCGTTGTATTGCATATAAATGTGTGATAATAATTTCTTTGATTCAATGAACTAAATAATTGTCTATTTGCAGTTTTCGCAGGGTGCAAATTTAGGTTCGTCAAATTCGCTAAATAAACATCAAAGGACAAAATCAAGTCCAGAGCAATTGGGAGCCTCGATGATCTCCCCTGCAGAGGCAAGCAGACGTTTAATAGCATCTGAATCTGCTTGTGATCTTTCACCTACAAGACATTCGAGACACAATAATGTTGAAGTAGAAGATTTACCTCATATTACACCTCCAGGAACTCCACCTCCACCATATCCAACACCTAGTCCAGGAAATGATACCTCTTCTTCTTTAAATGATGTAAGTTTCATTTTTTTACATCGGTTTTACTTGTATAACAATATGATATATGTCATTTCTTTGTTTCTTATTGTTTTTCTTTATTTATTTTTTCATTAATTTTTTTGTTGTTGTAATTTATCTCTGAGTTTTTATGTTTTATTTTTGAAGAGTTCATACGATAGTTACGTGATTGTTTCTCCACTACGACAGACACTTCTCAACGAAAGCATTCCTGGCTTACCAATGTTACAACAACCAATCATGTCAATGGAAGACGATGATATGAGCGATCAAGAATTTGTAAGTCTATTTCTTAGATGCTTTCTTTGATAACATAATTTTGCTTTGTATAATCTATAAATAATTAATTATATCAAACATTGATTTAGGGTCAATTGGAAGACCACGGCCCATTCAAATCATTGTCAAGGCTGTGGGAACATCATGCTCATCTTGCTGTATTTATTAATTACGTTTTATCAAACAGTGATCCTTCCAGTCTGGTAGGTAAAGTGTATTATATCACAGATTGTAAAATATTTAATATTAAAAATATTAATATATATAATTATATATAAATATATTATATTAACATTTAATATAAAATATATAATTTAATTTACAGTTGTTTTACTTAGTAACGGATTTATATAAGGAAGGAAACGCCAAAGAAATGAGAAAGTGGGCGTACGAAATTCATTCTAGTTTTTTAGTACCTGGTGCAGTAAGTAAAAAATTTATTATTTCAATATTTTTTTATCAATTGTTATTTACATAATTTAAATTAACATTTAATTATTTTTTGTTTAGCCTCTCCATCTACATAACGTAGATGAAAACGTTGCACATGAAATAGATGATGTTCTCCTAAAAGAATCTGATAAAGAAGAAATTCTACGTAAAGTAGGTATATTTTGATTAAGATATTGTTACATACAATGAGTCATAGGAGTATTTATATTCACTCTTACTGTAAATTTTAAATAATTGATATTTTATTGTAATGAAAAGATTCCAAATTTCTGTTTATAGAAACCTATTTTAGGATTATTAAACTTTAAAATGAATATAAATTTGATTCCAAAAAAACATTTTATTCTTACAAAAATATAACTTTACATTAATAATGATGAAAAATCGGTTTCACAAAAGTATTAGCATCTATACAATATGTAAAAAGAATACACAATGATTATTTTTATAAGTAGTACTTGGCTTTTCATTTTATAGTGCCTTTAACCCTTTCGCTATGGCAGGTCTCGCTGCGAAACCGATTCATGTTTATATTACATTTGTTCAAAAAAAAATTAAAAACAAATTAAAAAATGAGCCAAATGCCATCAATGTTCAATATACCTAACAATAAAAATATCACGCTGTCGAATTCTATAGCCGAATCTCGTACAAATATGTCGTCAATCAGATACGGTCTATAGACGACGCTCGTAGCGAAAGAGTTAAAATGATTGAGCATTTCTTATAAGACCAATTGTCTTATCAGTTAAGTTAAATTTTACTTTTCTTATATTAAAATGCTCTTTTTTACAATAAAATTTATATCAATTTAAAAGTATAATAATCTTTAAATTTCTGTATATAAGAATTTTTAAATATTGTATTACAAGAAAATATTGATTGTTTTAAATTGACAATAGGGATACGAATACTTTTTTGACTCACTGTATGTATTTCTTCAGTTCTTTTAAAGCAATTTTTTATTGGCAATTAAACAGATATTTTGGAAAGCACGTAATCGAGCAAAAGAGGAGCTGAACGAGCAACTTGCAGATTTTCAACAGAAAAGGACTGCAGGTTTGGGTACACTGTTTGGCCCAAGTGATTCTCAGCTGGATGAAAGTGTATCTGACAAAGCGAAAGAAACGAAGATTATAGAAACGTATCTTTTGCCTAAAATGGAACCTTATCTGTAAGATATTATTAATAATAAAATATTTACAATTTAAATAAAAAATGTATAATAAATAAAATGATATTCTTATATTTCAGCGAAGATATAGAAAAGGAAAATGTAGATCTTCGACAATTTACAACAGCAGCTGGTTTGGCTACGATATTAACAAAAATTTTTCAAATACGACCGGTGTCTCTTGACCGAGTACCTACTTTTGTAGCTAAAGATAAATCAAATATTAAAGCTAGATTACTTACGGGAAAGACTAGGAAAATGACGATTAGAGGACATCGCTTTGTAGCACATCAGTATTTTACAATAACTTATTGCAACCATTGCCAATTAATTATTGGTGGTATAGGTCCTCAAGGATATCTGTGTAGTGGTACGTATAAAATTAAGTAATTTTTAAATAGATATAACGAAATTAACAAACACAATGTATATTAAAATATTAAAATAAATTATTCTTCATTCGTGTAGATTGTTCCCTAAGCATTCATCGACAATGTGTTCGTGTAGTAGAAGAAAATTGTCTTGGTCCAATAGTCAGGAAAGATAGAGGCAATGATCGTATAAGTAAATTAATGGAACGCATTCGACCGGAAAGGAAACCACCATCGTCTCATCATCATCATCATTCTCAGAATCATACGTCACACAGTAAGTATATTTTTAATATATGAAAATAGATATTGAAACATAAATGTTATGCAAAAGTAAATGAATATAAAAGAATTGAGCTCATGTACTTCAAATTTTCATATTGCATGCACAAAATAATATCGAAATTAAAGATGGATAAAACAATAAAAGGATCACTAGTGTGAACTGGTTTTATAATATCAATCAAGTGAATAACAGGGAAAAAAAATTAAGTGACCCGAGAAACTGAATTGATTTTATTCTACTCATCGTTTTTTCTGTATAACACATTAATGATTATAAAATATGATATGTGATATTGACGAAGATACTACAATAAGTTTTTAATTGTTTTGAATAGTATATTATATTTTATAATTGTAGTAAAATATTTATCTAAGGATTATTTTTGTTGAAATTACAGTTGACAAAATCAAAAGGGGGGAAGAAGATGCGGGAGCATTAACGGATGGTGAAAATGGTAAGTTGATTCTACTGCTTGATAATGAATATTTTTGCAAAACAATTACGCTATTCATTTTTATTGAACATGTCTCCTTAGGCCAAGGTTTAATTATTCCCTAATTATATACATTTAATTTTTATATATTATTGTATTAAACAATCTTACGTATCACGCGGTTAATAATCTCAGTAACACGTCTTTTTCTATCAATAATAAATATATTGCTTATAATAGATTTATAAGTGTTTTATAGCGAGATTTGAGATATGTCGGCATTATGTTAATTGTGTCGTGTAAGACTTCGTGTCTTGTCAAACAACAATTTTAAACCAAGCGCATGAAATTGCAACTATAGCTTGGATGTTTTTAATAAAATGTCTGCAAATATGAATGCATGATTATTAAGAAATAAGAAAAAGGGAAATGTAGAAATTTATTCTAAATCAATGTTTAAACATAAAGGAAAAATTTCTTATTAGTCGTGAGCTTGTCTGAATTATTCTTTTAGAATGTTTAAATAAATGCACGCGTAGTCTTTTGCATGAGGCAACCATACTTAAAAAAGATATTTTTAAATAAAAGGCTCCACACAACTTTTATTTAGTTTCGTTTAGGAGACTATTTCTTGTTTACTGTTAGCTTGGAAAATTTCCGAAGATTATATGTTTAGTTGGAAAATCTAAAATAGAAATTTTTAATGTGCTTATTATTATTCATTTCATTTTATGGCCTCTTTTTAATGGAATTCCATCGCGTTCTTAAGATCAAATACTTTATATGTAAATTGTGATATTAAGATGTGTCCTCCAAAAAAGGTGAATATGTGTGTTTCAACATATATCTAATTATGTAAGTGGGCTAATGTTAGTAAAAAAAAATAAACAAATAAACATTGATTTATTTCATGTTTTTTATAATTTTTTATATTATTAAATAAATTTTATACATTTTTTTAACTTGGCTCTTTGTCATAATTAACGGCACATATATTTAATATGATTGCTAAGAAAAAAAAGAAAAAAAAAATACTTCCAATTACACTAAACTATAGTATGTATACGAGTCGGTTATAAAACATGAGTACTAAGCGCGTCACTCATAATGCGAGTAATTGTAGAGCTTGTAATTCATTAAAGGGAAAGAGCCATTGTTTTTTGCCGCGTCTCGCCGTGACGACATTTAAGTGGGTCTTAATTTAATAAATTTAATTGTCGAGCGTCGTTGTCCGTCGTTTATACCAACCACGCGTTATCCGGTGTCCACAATTCGAAGTGGCGTCCCATAAGCGAATACAATACAAGGTCAGCCCTTAACGTGAATATTAATTCTAATAGGAAGAAAAGAAGGAAGGAAGGAAGACATCTAATATTCTCTGACTAATATCTTTTTCTTGCTAATTCAAGTTCCGTTATCTTATTGAAAATAAACGAACGTAGTAGTGACGATAATTAAATAATAAGAACAAACAAACGAAAAATTTAATTTATTCGATTTATCATAATCATATCTACAAATTTATGATAGATTCATTTTTTAACGTGAAGTAGGATTTTTTTATTATAAAATTTGTTTAGAATATTTTAGACAATTCTTGGATAATTGATAACTGTCAGTTGGATAATTGACTTTGCATATTATACTGTAATTTATACCACAAATTTTATTTTAACGTGAGGTTTAAAATATTATCAAAATTGTCGTTCAATAACTTTGCATTATACTAGAAATTTATACTACACAAGTATGATTTTAGTATATGATTTAGAGCATTTAGAAAATGATTTAATTAATGTCTTTGTACTATGTTATAAATTTATACCATAATGAGTATGATTTTAATATACGATATCAAAACGTGCTACGGAAACGTCTTATCGCTTGTAATTCATAAAATCAATTTTGCTTTATGCGTGTAAACGTATTGTGAAAGCGGATGTGTCTAACTCGAGTTTTGATAATATTTTTCGTACCCGCTAATGTATACGAAATTTTAATGATATTTAAGAACCAAAAGCATAAAAATAATTTCATGAAAAAAAAAAAAAATGAGAAAAGTCGAAACATATGTAAATTTCGTCGCATATTTTCGGTTCGTCCTGGCGAAACTTGGAATTATTTAAGAACGAATTATAACCGGATGTCTCTCGACTCTTGTGAGTAACAACCATCACATAGCGTTATGCAATTTTGGAAACCAGATGCATATACGAGTGCCATTAAATCTGTACGCAATCCAAGAGGGAGTGGTACGTCCTCTGCAGTTCGCATTAGTCATCGTCATAAGCGAAGCTTTTTCATAACGAATGGCCGAACGAGGATAGAATCTTATCTTGAATCTCATTAGAATTAGGTGTGGTACGCGTTAAAATATTAATAAATAAATAAATATATAATGATAATAATTCGAAAGGAAAACACTTATTGTTTCACATGCCGAACCGGGCTAAAATCGTTTTATCTTTAATCTAATTTTAATTAGGTACGATATACGTTAAAAAAAGATAAATATAAATAAATAAGGATAATAATTAAGGAAAAAAATATTGTTTCAAGTGTTAAACGAAAATAGAGTTATCTTATTTTAATTAGATGCTGTACAGGTTTAAAAGAAAAACAAAAGTAATAAATAGGCCGCATAATATTTATTATTTCGCGTTTCTGATTTTTGTAGATTTTACTCCGTCCAGCATGCATTTAGTTATCGCACAGAATTCACGTCCAAAAACAATGTCCTAATTCGAGAGAGTCTCTTATCTTTTCTTTATACAGGAAGGGTCAAAAGTTCATAGATTATATTCAAATTTAATTATTCTTTTTTCTAAACTTTTTCGCAACTTTTTTTTCAGAATGTATTTATTTTATAATTTATTTAATACTTCTAATTTTATAAACAAAGATAATAAAAGTTAGTTTAAAAAATGTCAGAAAAGGGCTAATTGATTTTTAAAATTACTTAGGATTTATTTTTTTGGCCACTCTGTACTTTGAAGAGTAATTTTCGAATGGAATTAAAATTGTTGGCAATGTTACAAAGGAATGCAATTTTATTTTTAACTTGAGAAATCTTTCGAAGACTTTTAACTCGTAAAATACCCATGATTTATTAATCGTTTTTACATTTTCTTGAACATTCCTTTTCTTCCTTCCTTTTTTTTTAAATTTAAATTTTATTCTTTAATGGCGCATAAATCATTAACGTGAATTATTACCGACATAATAAACAAAGTTCACAGTGTAGTTTGAACAATTTAATATGTTACAGATAATGTTAAAAGTCTTGATATATTAATATATATTTAACAAAATAAAAAAAGGATTAAAGAAATTTTTCCAAATTTTACAAATAATATTTAGCTATAGAAATCTATCCTTCTTCAAATAACTTAAAAGAAGAATCGACATTGAGAATACGAATAAACGTAGCACAATCTTTGTTGTGAATTCTATAAACTTATTGAGTTCGCTCGTTTTATCGCACTAATCAATGTTTTGAAATGATTAATAATAATTAAAGGGGAGCAATAGTATAGTCTCGCGTTACGAGAAATTCTAACTTATTTATCTATTTCGTTCGACTGCTTTATTTCAATTCGTATTTAATTTCAACATAATACATTTTAAAATTAAATACAGTTTAATCGGTTTTAAAATTTTTAATATAAAATAAATTTCTATTTCAATTATGTTTATTTCCGAACCTAATATTTTTCCAATCAATTTAATTTAAATTTGATAATAAAATAATACACATATGTATCTATAATTATGAAAGTGGTGTCTAACATAAGTAAAAATTAATAAAAAATAATTAATCAAAATTATCAGTTATTTTACATCAAATTATTTGAAATGAAATTAATTTAATACAATTTTTTACGATATTGTCAAAAATGAAGCGTTAAATAATGTTTGTTATTTGAACATTATGTGAAATTTATTTAGTGTATAAAATGTAATCCTTCAAATATCCCGAAACAGGAGATATATGACTTAGACAACACACATTATTATGGGTACATATATAAAATTTAAGGTTAAAAAATTCGATATTATGATAATTCAATATTTCTCTAGAAACTTATATTTAAGGGTTCATTCTGGTTTATACGCCGAAAAAAAAGGCTATTTTCACGATTTTTTTTAGGCTTTGTAGGATACATATACATATAAAAGTTATTGGGTATGATAAATACACTCCAGAAGTACAAGACAAAAATTTTTTTTTATTGTTTTTAACGTTTTTTGACATTCAAAATGGCTGACAAACGTGAACCCGTCAAAAGTAGGTATGCTGTTGGCGGGCATCGAAATTTGAGAACGGGTGATCTAAAACAAAAAAATTAAACGGTTTTAAATTCAGTATGACAATGGCTATCGGGTATGCTAAAACTATCAATTTTTATGAAAACAAAACAAAATGACGGTCATTTTTCGAAAAAGAAAAAAATTGTTGATTTTTTTCGCAGTTTTTTGTAAAAAAAAGATACAAAATTAATATTTTGTCTTGGTTGTAGCATGCGAGATAGCCATTCATGTGTAGAGTATGTGGTTAAAATTTCAGAAGGATCGGTTGAGTAGTTTCGGAGATATCATGCCCGCCAACCGAAAAAACATTGTTTCGAGAAAAACGCGTTTAAAGTTTATTTTAACAAATTTTTAAAAAGTCTGACTTTACCTTATTCTGCGATGCCTGCACCATATAGTATGCCTTCTGCTTCTTCAAAATACTCATTTTCTTCCATTCTAGCCTTTTTTCGTTGTGTCCTGGCCTCTATCAAAGCTTCTCCGCTCAAACAATTAGCTGAGCGCACGCGCGTGTTGCCGCGGTTACTAGCGTAATTGACTGCGATAGGGCCAAGTTTTATCTCCAAAACGTGCATTATTTTCAGTATTGGATCAAAACCTTCGTTGAATATAMAAKCTGCCAATTTAAAAGCTATTTCAACAATTTTTTTACCATTAAATAGGTGTTTAGGCACCATAGCCCAAAMGCATTTGTTGAAGCCCTCATTATT